TTTTTTGAAGATTTAAATAAAATTGTGTTGAAATATATTTGGCAGGGCAAAAAAGCAAGAATGAAATTAAAATTGTTACAAGATGCAAGAATAAGAGGAGGGTTTGCCTTGCCCAATTGGGAGTTGTATTACCAGGCGACAAATCTGATGTGGGTAAAGGAATGGATAACACTAAGGAACAATAGACTATTGACCTTAGAAGGCCATGACTTGCTGTTGGGATGGCATGCCTTCCTTTGGTACAAGGGAACTAAAACACAGGGGTATTTTAGAAGAACTTATATTTGAGAGGCATTGTTTTTGAATTGGGAGAAGATAAAAAGACAATATTATTTAAAAATTCCACTATGGATATCTACCATTGAAGCTTTTTCTTATCCAATAATATATAAAAAGGAACAAACAGTTAGATATGGTGAGATATTGAATGAAAAGGGTGAACTTAAATCTATGCAAGCGTTGGAAAAACAAGGTGTAAAAATGAATTGGTTTTCATATTTGCAAATACAATCTAGATTTGACAAGGATGTTAAAGCAGAAGGTATTTATGATAAGTTGACTGACTTAGATAAGATCTTGATGAGTACTGATGAAAAGATAATTAAAAAACTTTATGGACACTTAAATTGGAGGAGGAACAAGTTAAAGAAACGATGATTGCCTGGGGGGGGGGGGATTTTGGATATGGGATTGATTTAGAAAAATGGCAAAAATTGTGGTCTCAAAATTATAAAATGACAATGTCAACTGCATATAAAGAAAATTCCTTCTTTCCAAAAAGAAGTTTTATGTTTTCATGTTTTGTGTTTTGTTTGTGTATGTTTGTTTATTGAAAATTAATAAAAAAAATTATTAAAAAAAGAAAAAGAAAATTTGTATAAGATGTTTTTACAGGTGGCATCTACCCCCCGGACGAGATTTGCGAGAATGTTTAAGAATAAATTGCATAAATGTTGGAAGTGTCATCAGATACCTGGTTCATATTACCATATGTGGTGGACATGCTCAGACGCAAAGAAATATTGAACTAAAATCCACACATGGTTGGAAAAAATGATAAAACAACATATGGACTTTAAACTAGAGATCTTTTTATTGGGAATTATACTGGAAATATACAACGAAGAGTTGAAATATTTGATTGTAAATGTACTAACAGCGGCTAGGATTGTATTTGTTAAGAATTGGAAAAATGATAAAATACTTATGCAGGAAGAAGTTATCAAGAAAATGATGGACTGTGCTGAAATGAGTAAATTGACATTTGAAATTAGAGAACAAGAAGATAAACAATTTTATATGATATGGGATTTGTTTTATCAATGGTTGGACAAAAAGACATGGTAATATAATGGACTAGATAATTTTGTGATAGAAATTTAATAGATAAGACATAATATAGACATATATCACCATTGGTTGAAAGTATAACATAAATTTTAAGATAAAACTTGGAACATCTCATATAAAATGATGGAATAAATAGTTTAGTCATGGATGATTAAGAACTGATAAATATACATGCATATGTTAGTTCAACAATGTGAAAATTGATATAAATTGTGAGTAAATGACTACAAAAGAATAGCACAAAAGATCTGCAACCAACTGACACACTGTATGTATATAAAATGGAAGATGGTTTTATGTTTTTATGTTTCGTATGTGTATGTTTGTTTTTAAAAATAAAAATTCTTTAAAAAAAAGAAAGAAATTTCTTCAGTCTCTCTGCTCTGCAAAAGGGGTGGAGAGAAAATAAACAAATGATTTCTATACCTGACACCCCCCTTCCCCACACAGAGCAGAGACATTGGAGAAAGTAGTAGTTTCGATAATGTTCTCAGGATGCCAAAAATCAGAATCTTGTCCTACCTCAAAAGTATTGCCATGAGTATTAGGATAGCTGGGAAAGCTATTGGATTACAAATCAATGTTTCCTTTAGGTTACAATGCTTCTAGCTTTATTGGGGAGCAACTGAAATAGTTCTATAGCCCAATGGGATAATTTGTAAGAAGTGTTTATCTTGCCCTATCTCCCAAGTTCAATTAGATAGCAACTGAAACGAAGCTGATTCTATCTCTATGCCACTCAGTGTTTTGCTCTTGAAGCTTCCAATTTATCTTTGGGTATGTGTTATTGACCTTCATTCATTCAAACCCTTTGAGGTAACACTACGATATTATGGGCACCAGTATTGGGAAGATGATTGAACAAACATTTGCCACCATTTATAACTCTCAGGCATCTATAATGCAATAGGATCTGGTTCTGTAGCATCCATTAGCTTTTGAAGACTTAGAATTATTTTTTAATCAACTACTATGATTTAAAACTGCATCTAGGATTTTTTCCATTTTTTTCCAAAATTGAAGATAAATATATACAAATACTGTACATATACACATACTATACACATATACGTACACATATACATACCACACACACACACATATCATCAACAATTGACAGCATAGAGGGAGAAAGAATGAATACTAATTAGCTGATATGGGAGCTTTAAATATGTAAACATATAAGAGATTTAATGCCAAGAAAAAGATAATAAAGACAATTTGGAAAAGTCCGATATTGTGGAATTGAGAAGTAATGATAAACAGAAAGGCTGCTACTATAAAGGATGTCATAGAATATCAATATGTCAGTATGTTCTAATCCAACCAGCTAAGGATTCTATCCACACCACGGTTAGGCAACTATGGCCCCTTTTTGACCTGTGGACTTCAACCCCCTTTGGTGGTTCAAGAATTCTGGGAGTTGAAATCCACAGGTCGTAAGGGGCCACAGCCCCCCCTCCCGTATCTAGACCAAAGATCCGTCCTATAATTACTAAGTGCAGGAAGAAGGAAATATTTTGTCATTTGGCCATGATAACAGCTAAGTCTTTAGAATTTCTGCTTATCCCCCCCCCCCCAAAAAAAATGTCATAGGCTCACAAACACATTGTTAGCCAAAAATGGGAATAAACCTATAGCAATCGTATAACCATATTTCATGTCTAATTATTTTTCATGTTTTTGAATTTAATCAGTGTTGTGATTATTTCAAAGAACCCAATCACAAGATCAAGAAGCAGAAATCTGTGTACATCTTGCTGTAAATATAATTGGAACATTAAAAATAAATTTATCTAACCAGAAGAAATTTAGCATTAGCAGATGCTCATAGAATATTAAGCATACAGCAGAATGTGCCTGGAGCTGATGGAAGAGCCAAGGACATGCCCTAATCTGACAAACTAGAGATGAAGGCATAGACATTCCTCTGCATTTAAAACACAGAAAGGGCATTTTAAACATATGGGCCTCTAGTTGCAACAGAGATCTATGACAGCATTTGCTTCAGCCATATAGCAACATCTGCAGTAAAATGAATTGTGCAGCGATTGTTCTGAATAGGTATTTGAAGCCCTGCATACCAGAGGAGGAGCAGGAGCAGGAGGAGAAAAGACTATGTATCAGTGTTGTCTTTCTTGACATGTGAAGCACATGGCTTCCTCCATCTTTGCTGTTCAAATGTCAATGTTTGTTTCAAAAAATAATACCAATTTCCAACTCTTTCTATAAGTGATCAATCTTTTTCATTATTATTTTCACAGAGCAGCTTCCACTTATCTGATTATACTTTTGTTTAGAAATAATTTCCAAACGTGTTGCAATTGAAAGCAACAAATCTTTGTGGTTTCCACAGAGAGAATGCAACTTTCAATTTTGGTTTTATTCAACATCAGGGGTGGGATGCTACTGGTTCTGCCCGGCTCTATAGAACCGGTAGCTCTGAAGAGCAGCAGATACAGAACCGGTTCTGTGTTTGCTGCTGTTTGGCCCACCTGCCCACCTGGGCTCTTACCTGTCTTTTATTTCCTGCTTTTTCAACCTCAGCTGCTTTGCGCGGCACAGCTGAAGTTGAAAAAGCAGGGGAAAAGAGGCTTTTCGAACGCTGCGCACCTGCGCGCAACGCTTGTCAGCTGTCCGGGTGGCACAGCCTAAGGTTATTTTACACACCCGCGTAATCACCAAACCGGTAGTAACGCCAGTTGAATCCCATTCCTGATAAACATTCATATGTATTTTTACATGCATCATTTCTGATGCATATATTTTTGTGTATATATTCATATACAATTTGTGAACACTTTCTTTGAATATGTTACATTCAATATTTATGTAACGGCTCTCTACACTTACGTAGTTACAATCTACCTTTACTATTGCAACTTATTATACCCAGATGTACCTTTGAACAGTGCCCAGAAATTACAGGAAGGTTGGAAAATGTAGGAGTCAGGCTGTTGGCCCAGTGCAAGATATGGGGGGTTACATGTACTGTATGTACTGAAGGAACAGACTATCCAAATAGAGATCTTTGTGTTGACCTTTCAAACCCTGAATGATTTTAGGATCTCCCACTACAAATCTGCCCGATTACTTGGATCAGCAACAGGGAAATCTTTGAAGGTCTCCCTATTGCACCCCACCCCAAGGAGAAAGCTACGCTCTTATTTGCATAAAATTTAGAAAAAGGACAAAAATAATGTTTATCACCAAACTTAACTGTTAATTCTGTTTTTGATATTTTTCATTATACTAGTTTTAATGTTTTATTTAATTGCATTTATTTTATGGATCAGTTATATACTTCGTAAATAGTACCAATAAATACATAGAGTATTAAAATATGTAGCTGAATCTTTACATAAATTGTGGTCCTACACGGGTGACAGGCTGCAGCGCCCTGTGCCTTCATCACCACTTCTTTAGATACTGCAATGCACTCTAGATGTCAGGCTGCCTTTGCAATCTGCTCAGCTGATTTCTTTCAGTCTCCTCTTGCCATTTTTACACTGCTCCATGCCAGCAAAGAACAAAACTCAACATCCATCATACTTTTGGAAAATGCATTGTCAAGAATTAAAGCAGCGATGCTAAAGGAAGAAAGAGAATAGAAGAAATGCCAACAGCAGACGAGACATTTTACTACTCACTTCCTGGGCTTTTCCTCTTTTGTTTCTGCTACGTGGTATCCAGGCTTACACTTGTAGCGACAGACAGATCCCACGTCATGATTCCCTTGCTTGCATCGAGGCATCAAGAGCTCAGCATTGGCAATTGGGCCTGGAGAGTCGCACTCCAGTTTGCAGTAAGCTTCTGGCAGTGACCAGAGTCCATCTTCCAGGCAGGTGATCCACTGATTCATTCCTGATTCCAAGCAAGAGAAAGAAAAAAGAAACAAACCCATTCAGATTACCGCATAACTAGTTATTTTTTGAATCTTAGGCTGAATTTTACTCTGATCCAATTTTCTTTACCTTCACCCTTTCTTTATTTGCACAGACTTTTTATGCCACTTTCATCTGACTGGTATAAAGTCATGAAATGGGATAAGGTCTCCTGCTTGAAGGGGGAGTTGGACTAGAAGACCTCCCAGTTCCCTTCAAGCTCTAATCAAATTGATTGACTGATTGGCAGTCTCCAAGTAATACGTACCCCATACAGTGGCAACAAGTAGTTATAATAGAAAATGCTAAGCTGTCTGCACTATATTTCTCTGTAGTACTTTGCAGTGGTGGGATTCAAAAAGTTTTACCACCAGTTCAGTAGGCATGTGGGCATGCGTGCACATACTCTGCGTGCGCGTGTCTGCCAAATGCGCACTTTGCGCAGGCTCAGAGGCATTCCAACCTCCTGCAAGCCTGCACTCTCCCGGTCGCTTCAGCAGCCGCACAGAGCAGCTGTGCTTCAAAAGCAGAGAATAAAGGTGAGTATGGGAGCCTGGGTGGGTAGGTGGGCCCAACAGCAGAGCGGAGGAGAGAACTGGTTTGGTCTCTGCTGCTCATCGCTGCTACTGGCTCGGCCGAACCGGACCGAACCGATCGAATACCACCACTGATACTTTGGCAGTATGAAATTTATTTATTAAATTCATTGGTAGTCCTTCTTACCACAGGGTAACTCAGTTTGCAATATTAAAAAGATAAAACTATATTAATAAAAGACTATAAAAATAGAAAAAAAAGTGGAATAGATAGCACCACCACTAGATGGACTCGCAACTGGCTGGCAAACCGTACTCAACGAGTAGTCCTTAATGAGTCTAAGTCTACATGGAGGGAAGTAAGCAGTGGGGTGCCACAAGGTTCCGTCTTAGGCCCAGTACTCTTCAATATCTTCATTAACAACTTAGTTGAGGGAATAGAAGGGGAACTTACCAAATTTGGGGATGATACTAAGCTGGCAGGAATAGCTAAAACCCAAGAAGATAGGCTCAAGATCCAGATGGATTTTGACAGACTAGAACACTGGGCCGTACCTAACAAAATGAAATTCAATGTAGAGAAAAGTAAAGTCCTACACTTAGGCAAGAAAAATCAAAAGTACACATATAGACTGGGTGAAACCAGGCTCAATAGCAGTAGCTGTGAGAGGGATCTTGGAGTCTTAGTGGACAGCCAGCTAAATATGAGCCAGCAGTGTGCACCAGCAGCCAAAAAAAGCTAATGCAATCCTAAGTTGTATTAACAGAGGGATACAATCAAGATCAAGGGAAGTACTAATACCACTCTATAAAGCCTTAGTAAGACCACACCTAGAGTACTGCATCCAGTTTTGCTCACCACATTATAAAAAAGATGTTGAGACTCTAGAAAAAGTACAGAGAAGAGCAACCAGGATGATTAGGGGACTGGAGACTAAAACATATGAAGAACGGTTGCAGGAACTGGGCTTGGCTAATCTAGTAAAGAGAAGGACCAGGGGAGACATGATAGAAGTCTTCCAATATTTGAGGGGCTGCCACAGGGAGGAAGGGGTCAAGCTATTTTCTAAAGTGCCCGTAGGCCAGACAAGGAATAATGGATGGAAACTGAACAAGGAGAGATTTAACCTGAAAAGAAGGAGAAACTTTCTGACAGTGAGAACAATTAACCAATGGAACAGCTTGCCCTCGGAAGTTGTGGGAGTGCCATCACTTGAGACTTTCAAGAAGAGATTGGACTGTCATTTGTCAGAAATGGTATAGGGTCTCCTGCTTGGGAGGGGGGTTGGACTAGATGACCTATAAGGTCCCTTCCAACTCTGATTATCTGTTATCTGTTAAATACAGAAATACAAAATACAGCTTTTATTTGGCAAATGCCACATTTATTTTCTGGAAGATGCAAACAGCCATAGTGCATTTCTTATTCATAATTGGGATCAGAAAAGGCATCCTCAGTACCCACCAAATGGCTGATGCTTGTGGAAGAGAGATGCCCTTCATAGCTGGAATGTGAGTTTGTCTATAATGCTAAACCATTACAGAAAAAGATACCTGAGTTCTATGAAGGTAGGAAGAAACTAAAAACGACTTCACCTTGATTGTGATGGGTATGAGTTGAAGTAGAGAGGGACTGACAGGCTTTTGGGATTCTGTTACATTAAAGTTACCACATTAAAGTACATTTGAAGATTCCTAGTGATTTTTGTCTATGCTGAAGGGCCTAGAACAGGGCTGTCAAACTTGTCGCGTCACGTTGCCATCACATGACATATCATGACATTTTCCCTTTTGCTGGGGTGGGCATCATCGGAGCATAATGCATCTAGCCTGTGGGCTGCCAGTTTTACATCCTTGGCCTAGAAAATCCCAAAGAACCATATAAGTCCCAGGCTCCAAAGCTAATTTCATATTTCATTCACAATATTTCATATTATTAAACTTTGTCTTATATTCACTGGAATGTTTTAAGTATTTACTGCAAACACATGCTCCAAATAATTCAGTGCCTTATTCAAAGCTGTCAAATTCAGAGAAGGGGAAATGGAGACTAGGGATATATTACAACGTCTGGTGGATGGCAGCGGAACTCCCTAAAGTAGTTAGCTTTTATTTATTTATTTTTTCTCAGAATTTCAAAATCTCCATTGTTTTGTGACAGGTTAAAATAGATATGCCTCTCATTGCAGTCACAATTCCTACCCCATACTTTAGCCTTATCAAAGATATTTTGAAAGAAAGAAAATTGTGGACCACTCCCAAAATAACAATGTTGTTGTCAGTATATATTATCACTGTAAAGAATCCCTTACATTGAGCAAAATTTGTGGTGATTTCTGGGAAATCCATATAGCTTTCTTGGCAACAAAGTGGAAGTGATTAGATAAAACCTCAAAAGGATGTCTTGGAAGTAATAAAACCCAATATGAAATTTTGTAAAATGTGTTTCATATCATGACTATCCATGGGAGGAAGGGCAAGGAAAACAAATGATAAAATCTATGTAAAGTGATTCTAGAAATATGCCTTAATATAGTTGCATTGTAACTATATATACAAAAGTATATAATTCACCAAATGCATGATGTTATATGCCCATATTGATACTGCATTTTGCTGCAGACACTGCTTTTCATTTTTTAAGATGGAGTCAAGGTCTGATAGTTGTTGCTGGAGCTCCAGTGGCTGGATGGTGCTAGCATGTTGAAGATGGATGGGTGAATAGCTGATAATGATGTTCATGACCAGGGTTGGAATGGAGAGTCTTGTGCAGTGCAAGAAATGCTAGTGATGACAGTTTGGGGATGAGGGTTGGTGAGAAGTGGATCCCTGGAAGTAATCTGAAGAATGGTTGGGCAGCTGGTTAAGGATCTTAGATCCGTCCTGAATGTGGACATGCAGCTAAAGAGACCAATATTCAATATTGGTAGGGGTGTATTTTTAGCAGTCCCTGCCACTGGTTGATCAATTATTTGCTGGTTTAGCTGACCAGCAGAGTTTGGTTTTTGGCTGGAGGAGTGGAGGAGCCAAATATACAAATGCAGATAAATAACAAAAGCCACATATTTAGCATATTCTTCTGATCATGTGCGGGCAAAAGATTAGCAAAGACACAGGAGGAAATTTTCCGGAACTTTGTTCTACCATCCAAGTCTATCCCGAGAAAATCCATCCTACCTTGGAGTTTCGCTGGCTTGATACAGGAAAGGAAGCATCGCTTCATAAACGTAGTTCCTTTGGGACAGGAAAACTCTGCATAAAGAACGTGAGATTGGTCTGGAAATTGGCAGTCAATAGGGTTACATGTCACTGATCTGTCCCAGTGATCAGAGATACAAGTCAGCAAGATTTCTTTCTGGGAAAGACAAGTGGAAGAGTCGAGAAAAAATTAAAAAACAGTCATTCCTAATTTCAATATTGGTACAACTATTGAAAGTAGTGTTCACTTACCAGTTGTGTCTATTCATTCCTTTTATCAAGAGATTAGTTTAGAACTGAATCAAGTGCCTAACAGATAATCTGATAGTTTACTTAAATCTGACCTAAGACATAGGCAAAAATGAAATTTATCACCTCTACCTTTGGCCTTGAAAAAAGCCATTCTTCTGTTTTCATTTTAACCACACATTGTCACAAACAATGACATCTTATTGGACCCTTGAGTTGGGTCTTCTTAGCAGTAGCACATGCCCTCTGCAAAACATCTCCCTGTAGATTCAGATGGCCCCAGATGTTTTAGCCTTTGTTAGGTCTTGAACCTTGACTGCTTCCCCAGTCGTTTGGGACAGTTGGATAGATGAGCTCAACTGTGTTGCTTTTTTGGGATGGGGGAGTGGGATGGCGGTTTATCTTTGGGCATCTGGGGTTATTTGTTGTGAGTTTCTGTACTTTAAAGCTTGTAAGCCACCCAAAGTCCTTTGTGTGACAATGTGTGGTATGTAAATCATATCAATGAATCAATATAAAAATGTTTTTGCAAACTGGCTTAGTAATCCAAAAAAACAAAATGAAAATAGTTTCCTGACTCCAAGCTTATAAACCAAAAGGACAGCATTACAATGGATGGGGAGTGAAGGGGAAAATCTCACATCCTTTGGAAGAAAAGCAGTAATAGGGCAGTCCGTACTGATTAATTCTAAGACAGTGCTAAGCAGAAATGCCAAGATTTTCAGTAAATGTTCTCTTCTTATGAAATCTACATTCCAGGTCCAAAAAGCAGCTCTCAGCAACCCTATACAAATAATGTGTTTTTAACAAATGTGAATAAATTCCCATTTTGCATAATGGACTGTGCCATTTGTTTTTCATAATTCATTCTAAATTTGCGAATCATGCAGATAAATGAGCTGTATAAACCCTGAAGCCCTATCCTCCCTTCGACTTAAATTAGCTACTTATCTGACCTCAGAGGGCAAATCAGAGTTTTGTTTGATGTATACCACTTTATCTGTAAAAATGTAGGGGAGATTAGGGGAGGGACATCTCTAAGGGCAATGAAATATGAGATGATCAGAGGCATACCTGTTCTTCAAAATTTGCAAGTAGATACACTTTATGCACTATTACGATACCTTAAGGAAAAGTCCATCAATGAGGATTTCTGTAAGTATTCTTTTTTTAAGTCTGAGAGCTACATGAGAGCTACATGAAGCAAATATTGAATTTACCTTTGTGTATCTAAAATGGTGCAAGTTGACCCTTGATGCAAATACAGAGAAAATTGTGGTCCAAATCCGTGGCAGTTGAATGGGGAGAAGTAGAGCAGTTCCTCTGATGTTGATTTCATGTAATTATGTACCATCAGGTCTTAAGAACAACTCTTAACAACCACATAAATACATTTTCTCCATGGCAATCTAATGTGATGTTTCAGGTTTTCTAATAGTGCACTCATTGCCACTGTAACTGAGTCCATTCGCCTTGCTGCTTTTCATCTGCCTCTTCTCTCTCCTTTTGCCTTTCCCAAAATTAAGGGCTTCTCTAGAGAACTAGGTCTTTGCATAATATGTCTGAAGTAGGATAATTTGAGCCTAGTCACCAATGCCTGTAATGAAGATACTGGATTGACTTTTCCTATAATCCATTTGCTTGTTTTCTTGGCTGCTCCTTTCATACCAGTTTTTCAATCCCATAGAGACCCATGGTCTTCAGTTGCCCATCTTTGGCACCAAAGGAGATGTTCCCTCCCCACCTTTCTCCTTTCCCTGCTTTTGGTATGGAAGGAATCTCTACTCTGCTTTATTGCCAAGGTACAACAGGATGTGAACATGCAACCAGTACTTCTTCAAGATCAGGGTACTTTCTTTCAGCTCCTTCACTCTATAGCTGTGCTTTAGTGCCACCATCCAAGAGAGCAGGTAGTCATGACGGCCTTCCATCTTCCTCCTTTCAACTCTCGTGTCTCATTAGCAAAGCTTCTAATGCTGATGATTTGGCATTTCTAAGGACTTTTCAATGCATTATGCTAGTCTATAATTTAGTATTTTTATTGTTTTCTACTACAAATTGTTGATGTAACTTGATGCTATAGTAAGCTGCCAAGAATCTTTTGATTGTGGTTGGTAAAAAAGAAACAAACAATCCAACAGGAGGTTTCATGGCCAAGAATTCTTTTCCACCAATGTTTCTTGCTGGGTTGCCAAGCATATAAACATTAAAAGTAGCAAATTTAACTTTACTTCAATTTTTAAACATATTTTAAAGCAAAAAAGAGCACTTTAAAACACTCTTTTCCCAATCCAAGGTGCACCTGCCTAAACAGAAATAAGAGAGTCACTTATCCAATGTAATGGTGCCTCTTTATTTGTGCAGTTCAACTCAGGAGGCCTTCTGCTACTAATTTAAGGAACACACAATTAGTGAAGGTTGTAGTTGTTGTTCTTGTTGTTGTTGTTATTATTATTATTATTATTATTATTATTATTATTATTATTATTATT